AGTTCATATTTTGTTATTTTTGTTCAAGTACCTTCGCAGTCATTATCAAGAACTGATGTCATGTCTGTATGGTAGTTAGAATTTTTTTGTCTGCATCCTGGTATTCTTTGGATAGCTGGACTTTAAAATAATCTAGCATGATGTCATGTGCAATGACTATTGAGACCAAGGCCACATGAAAAAATGAAATTTATTGATTTTATTATTTATTTAATTCAATCATTTTTTATTATAATACTAATATTGGAAAACTGGAAAAAATAATTGTTTGGATATATGTTCCTGAAAAATTTATTTTGGTTGAGCTCTCTAGGAGAGGAAGTGTGGTTTTGTAAACAGTGACTATTACAGCTAATATAGCAAGACTCTTCGGTAAAGCAAATCAAATCCACTCAGTCACTGTGTGTTTATCTAAAAATAAATATGCTTAAATTCACCTTCATCCCTGCCATGCACCAACGGCTTAGTGGTAGAATCTCCGACTGACGCCAATTCAGCCGGGTTTCGATCCTAACTAGAGGCAGATGGATGTCTGGCCACACTGATGAGCTGTGATGCAGCAAAACAGTGTCTGTGGATGACATATATATATGTGCACACACACACACACACACTGGTGTGTGAAAGTTTTAGACCAACTACTTAAAATAATTATACACCTTTATTTTTTAAGTCAGGCTTGTTTAGCAGTATGCTTTCATCAGTCGTACATGTGGACATTGAGTATTGGAAAATAAGTGGCTATATTTTCATAGGTGCCATGTAACAGAAGAGACATGACTTTATCAAATTGAAGCTGAAAAATGGCCATGCAAAACTATTGGACCAGTGAAAGATCTAAGATAAGAAATTATAATAAAATGCAAAAAAAAAAAAAAAAGACTTGTCCCATTTTATTAACATGAATGTGCAATGACTTGGCAAGTCATTGTAGTTGAACAACACTAAGATCATACCAATGATTTCTGCAGAAACAAAGATGAAGGTTGTGACATTGAAGGGAAAGTTGTCTTAACAAGAGATAGCCTGGTGGCTGAGAATTTCCAGAAACTGTTCAAACCATCTGAAAGGCGTTTGCTACTACTGGAAGTATTTTAAGCGCAAAGAAAACCGTAAGACAACAAAAATTTGATAAGTGAGATGAAAGAAAGTTTTTGAGAGTCATGGGAGGCAATTCAAAATTAACAGTTATACAAGTGAGGAGTGAATGCCGTCTTAACACTGAGGTTTCAAGTGATACATTATGCAGAGTATTACAAAAACAAAACAACCTATAGCAGAAAAAAAAAAGTCTTAACCAAAAAGCATCAAAATAGAAAACTAAATTGGTCAAAAGAACATGGGATGCTGGAAAGTGGCAAAATGTAATTTTTAGTGATGAATGGAAAATTCCACTCTAATACAAGAGAATATACAAGAAGACCAGTGAGAGAAAAACAATGCAAGACATGCCACAAAGATGGTAAGATTTGGTGGTGGAGTGGCATCAAAATTAATGGTAGAAGCTGATAGAAGCTTAATCAGTGATAACTATATTAGTTTACTACAGTCTAATCTTCTGCAAGACTGCAAAGATGGAGAAATATTTCAGTATGATGGTGCTCCTTACCACACATCATGTGCAACAAAAAGGTTTCTTGTTCAACTTTTGGAAGATTGGCCAGCACAAAATACCAATTTCAATATAACTGAAACATTGTAATGGGAACTGAAGAAACAAATGCTCCAACAAAAACCACAGAATCATCAAGAGCTTTGGGATTACAGCCAAGAAGAATGGCAAAAAAAATTCACAGTGAGTAAACCTGGAACATGTTCAATGCCCACACTGAATTGAAGCAATTATTCAAGCCAAAAGGCAGCAACACTAATTACTAACTCTATACATTTTGTACTTTCTGTAATAATGAGCATCAATTTTTAAAAAAAAAAATTAAAAAATTCCTTTTTACCTTAAGAAAACAGGTGAAATGTGAAATTTTCACTGGTAGCCCAGTATTTTTGCATGGGCTTTTTTCAGAATCACTGTGATTAAGATGTTCTATCATCCACCATTCCATTAATAAAAATGCAGTAACTTGTTTTCTGTCCTTCAAAGATCATAAAATGTACTGAGAAATGCATACTGCTAATCATTCAATTTTAGGGTAAGATTAACTTACCATAATTAAATCTCTGAACATGGCCCAAAGTTTTACCTGCCATCGTATATAGTGTTGGTTTTACCAATACTTTGGTTTTTTATGTGTGTGTATATATATATATATATATATATATATATATATATATATATATAAACAACTTTTTTCCGTAAGCCATATCATGGGTCAGACTGATTAAACACATATGCCTAAACTTTCATTCTCTCTACACAAGATTTTGCCATTTCTTCTTTTTTTTTTTTAACCACTACCAACTTACTTCATTTGCAAAAAAAAAAAGTGTTTTCAATCCAATGTTTAAATAATGTTGTCAAAAATGTTAAGAAAGCCAATTCCACCATTTCTATCAAACTGTCTTTATTTTATAAATAAAAAAAGCTGTATTTGTAAATAGAGTTTTAAGTTACCTGTTTTACACACACACAATACATTCCTATACTTACTTCCTAAGGCTAAATTTGGCACAAAGCCACAAAAATAGGACACCTAGTGAGAACCAAATTCACTACTTTCTTAGTTTTGATCTGCAAGAAAGGATTTTTTGTTCACAAATATATATTATTATTTTGTTAAAATACCCACGCATTTAACCCCCGAATTCTCTAAAGGTCATATTCAATTCTCCCTTTTTAAGCATGTTGTCCAGAGTTCACAATATTCTTTTTTATGGGCTGTTACCAAAACAGGTGTAGTTGTACAACAGGCACTGCGACCAGAAATATTTTTATCATTTATTGATTCATCTTCATATCACTCCAGATCACAAGTATAAAAAAATATAATTTTTTTTATTAGATTTTAAATTTATAAAGATGTTCAGTTTGCTAAATTCATTGTAAAAAATTGATCCCCCACCCCACGGGACCTAAAACAAAAAAAGTAAACTCATATTTTTTAAGAATAAAATTAAAAAAAAAAAAATGTAAATTCGTAATTTGGAGGGTCTTTTATTTTGGTTTGGTTTATTTCATAATTAAGCATTTCAGATTACGAACTTTAAAAAAAATGAAGAAGTCACATCACGTTGTATAAGCTTTTATATTTTGTTTTGGCTTTCATAGGTGGGGGATCAATTTTATTTTTACAATGAAGTTTAGTATGGGGACTCTGACTTTAGAGAATTTGTGGTAATATGTTAATTGTTAATAATTGTAGCGAAGTTCAAAGTTTTCTAATAAAATAATTTGATATACAATTAATTCATTAGTAAATAAATTAAGTACTGAAAATTTCGTTTAAATCGGATAATTCCCGGAGTTTTTGGCGGTAGCGATTTTTTTTTGCTTTCATTTCTGAAAAAAACGCATCCATTTTTTTAGGATATATTTCACATAAAACCAAAATTTAACTTAAATGAAAACATTTTAAAATTATTTTTTTTTTTTAAATGGGTTTATCATGTTTCTTATGAAATCCGTGGCAGTACCTAAATTGGTGAAATTTTCCGAACTTTTTGGGTAGAGAGAGAGAGAGAAAAGCTTTTCATGTCCAGGTATCACAAGCAAACAGCATTCGGAACGTTGAGAAATTGTTTGTTGTTTTAAAGCTATTGCAACGATATACGCAAGAATAAAAATTAGTTGTTGTTAATCTGGTGTTTTCTGTTTCTTTTGTAACGTAGAGAATATTTACTTAGGTTTTATTTGCAATGTAGTGTGTACGAATATTTAACGAAACGATCGCGTCAACTACTGTTACTACTACTTAATTAGAAAAGTAGTGCCAGCTGCAACTGTTTCCACATATAAACAACACAAGAAAAAAAACGCTCTGATATAATCGTCTTTGATATTTGAAAATAGCAAACTGAATTAAGTTTTCATAAACGAAATAAGAATTGTTCACAAATTTTCTTATATTGTTCAGTTCTCTCTGCGCGTATACAAAATATGATAGGAAACCTCCGAAAACTGGTTTGGTAGCAGCAGTTTAGTAGTAAATTCGAAGTGGGAATAGCGGAATAAGAGAATACAATACGGTTTCCTTACAAGCATTACGATATTGGCGGTTAAAAACGAATACGATTAGGTTTTTGGAATGTAAACCAATCAAAGGTTTGTAGGTTTGAGAAACTAAATGGAAGCGATGTACACTTCCCAACACAAATATGCGTTTTGATATCGATTTTTATTTTATGGCAAAATTTGATTTCATGCTATTTTTTTTAAGTAAATGTTGATGCAAGAAGTTCATAATTAGTGATATTTTTATTTAAATAAATGGAGCTAAATTTAATCGTCGAAAAGCAAAAAAAAAATATAATTTTTTCAAAAAGACTGCGATAGACCGAAAAAAAAGTAAATACTGAAGGAAGAAGGGAATGACATCCGAGAAGAAATTCTTAAAAACGCTAACAAAATATAGACAAATGCGCTTGAATGTTTTTTTTTATTTATTTTTAAACAAATAGACGAGAAAAATTGTTAACTTAAAAAAAACATATGATCAATGCGCATATTTACTTATTAATTCTTTTACAAATTTTCAACAAGAACCAATTTTACCGAAAAGGCTAGAAAAAAAGAACACAAAGATTATGTTAAAAAAAAAAAGAAATATTTCTCTTCGTGGTAATTTCTCGAAAACAAAAAGCATAGCAAAAGAATAACAAGTACAAACCGGAATAAATCCAGATTATAAGTATTTGTTATTCGCTAACATAAAAACTTCATTTAAATATCAACAGAATAACAAACTTTTATTCCAGAATAACGGATTAGTGATTTAAAGAACATCAACTGTAATCAGCGTAAGTTGAGCGAGAAAGCGCTCGACGGTTTCCTCTCCATAAACGAGATTGCCTATTTTAAAAGAAATAAATTTGTAATGAAAACTCACCATTACGGAATCTGTCGACCTTGTCTTCGTCTACTGTGACCAAGATTGATCTACCATCTTTGAGTTTAAGGTTTATATTTGCTAATCGAGACATTTTGTTACACAAACATTTACATTTCAAGTTTGTATCGGTGGGAGTTGTAGACCACGTCAAACCAACCCAAACTTTTTCCTAATCCTTTGTATTGTAAACTAAACATGTAGGAAATTAAGAATAGACTTTAAATAAATAAAATATAGTATAGTATTACTGAACTTTAGAAATTATTTTTTATTTGATTTTTTTTATTCTATTCTTTACTTTTGTTTACAGTTTTGAAATATATCTTTTGTAAAAGAAACCTATGAGGCACAGAGATGTGTACGTTTCGTTTCGTTCCGTTTGATTTTATAAGGTTTGAATGGTTCGGTATTCCGGAGCGAACCAGTTTGGTTTTTGAAAAACCCTTAATTTATGAGCAATTTGAATTACCATAACTTTTATCAAAACGGCATATACAGAGATTTTGGGTAAAAATGTGACCACAGACTTCCCCTGTTTATAAACAAAGAAAGAATCCCTTTGATTTAACAGTAACACACACTCACACATAGGAAAGAGAAACATTATTAGAGGTAGTTTTCTAAAACGTATTTTTATAATTTGTAATAATTTCAGGTTCACTTATATTTTACCATTAAAAATATTAATATTTTTGAATGTTTTCATTATGAATGCAGATTTAAAAATAATCATATATTTATCAAATGTTTTCCAGTTTCGATAAAGTATAAAAGTGACTCCATGTCTTTGTGGTTGATGAATTATTTTTCATCATACAACCCCTTTCCCCACAGACGAAAAGTTGCAAGCCTTTCTTTGTTCTATTGTTATTTCCATGGAAAGTGTTCAAACGAACTACATTCTTTAATTCCACGAGATCTAACCTACATGGCTAAGACCCATGATGCCACTCACATTGTAGCGACCTGCCCTCATTATGTTTGCATTCCATTGGTAAGATGTAAGTTCTACTCAAGCAGCTTCTTCCCACAAACTGCTGATTTGTGGAACTAACTCCCAAGAAGATGCATTCCTGATCTCTACAATTTTAACCTGTTCAAGTCTAGAGTTAACTGTTATCTTCCCCACATATCTCCATAAATGTTGCCTCTTACTCTGTAACCCTCTATCTTAAGTGGTCCTTGGGCCTTGGACAAGGTCAACATTATTGTAAAAAAGGAAAAAATGAATCAGTTCACTATTTGAGTGGAAATCCCATACTGATTAAACCAAAAAAATATGTCAGTTTGAATTTGTGAGAACTTAAAAATGGAGTTATCAAAAATCTTAACAGTTTCAATCTGTCTCACTAAGTGTGACACTACTGTGGGGTCAACAGACTAGACTACAAATAGTAAATAAAGCTACATTTGAAAGTTGAATGCCATAGGTATTCCCTGGAGGCTTTGAAACACACTCCCTCCAGGTTGGACATCTGGATCATGGAATGGGTTAGACTTACACTGCAAATGGCAGTGAGGGCAATACTGTCTCTCTTTGTTCAATCATGTAGAAAATACAACTCTACCCAGTACAACTAAATTTTGAATTGACTTTCTTCTCAGTAGTAGGTCAAGTTAATCCAATGTAGTTTTAAAGTAACCTCAAAAGTTGCAAGTAGCAAAATTTAAAATTTATTAAATATTAGATTTTAATAAGCATGTAATCTACTATAGCCATATCTATATGACATGGCTGTAAAAAAAAGATCAATCCCCCAATTACTAACTACTTGTTTATAAATCAAATAAGATGATAGACAAGCAGAATTCTCAGACTGAGAAACAAGTAGTAAACTGGGTTAGATTTGAAAGTCCAGAACTACTAAATTTTGAACTGACTTTCCTTTCATTCATAGCCCGAGTTAGCCCAAATTATTGTAAATATTGACTCAAAATCGCAAATAGTGAAAGTTAAAATTTAGTAACACTTAGATTTCAAAAGTCTCCCAATCTGGCAATCATGCCTACAAGAATATTTTTCTAGAAAAACGAAATCTAAGGCATCTACGATGACTAAATGTGGGGGATCTGTTTATGACTTGGCTGTAAAAGAAAAGTGATCCCCGACTTAATATTACTATGTGGGTTATCTGTTTAAGACTTGGTCCATTCACAAGATTCTCTGCATAATAATCATCAGTGGGGATCACTTTTGGGCAAGATTAAGTTAAGCTGAGTGAATTTCTTAATATGACTAAATTTATTGTTTCAATTTTCATCAATAAAATGAAAGTTTACAAAATACAAACAGATACATTTATTTGTGATGTGTACATACTACAACTGCTTTTGTTCAAATATTCTTTTAAGAAAATGCATCTTATAAAATAATTCTTTATCTTTCAGAGATCATGTGGGACTTAGAAAAATAAAATAAAATGATAAAGCTTACTAAAATTACTAATGATGTCATTAAAATAAATTATAGTCTTGTAAATAAGAAATAAGACAAAAGAGTGTCACTTTCATTAAAAGTAAAGCATTGCTTATATTTGTGTAATATTTAAGTTAAACAGTTTACTTATTTATGAATTATCATTTATTATCTCCTATCATTTACTATTATTCAAGCAAACACATTGGGCATAAGAACTGATATAGAAATTGAAAAAGAAATAAAATGTAACGCTAAAATGAACCTTATCAAAAAACAATAACAAAAGAAAAGGGCAAAGGAATTTCTATCCTTAAATAAAAAATAATTATTATTGATATTTTTTTGACATATTTTGGAGTCAATGTGGGATCAAAAATTCCCTAGAGGGATTAATCGTCTAAAACTTTTGGGACTTCTGACCTAGACTCATGTAACATAAATATTTTTTAAATTGAAGTAAGTAAGGAACAGCATGCTTAAGTGCTATTCCATATGTCTACCTATTTCTAGAGTGTTTTTTTTTAACCCTTTCATATCTTTCTCTTTTCTCTTTTACACACACACACGCACATACTCCACATATATATATATATATGGTGTATTTAAGCAGTAAATATTTTTTAAGGTAAATATTATTAAAGACAACAGACATTTTATGTTGATTAATTTTACTGATCAACTTTTCAAAATTATGAATAATCCTTCGCAGACAAGGAGGAAATTCTACTAGAAATTGTCCAGAGTTCATTTCAGAGACAAAATACAAGCGGGAGAGGGGAATTAACAGGAGATAACTGATAACTGACATCCATTAGACATGGCACGTGGAACTAGAACAGTCTACCCCAGTGAGCGAAATGAAAGGTTCAGTTTGACATTCCAACCACCTGAAGAAGGCCAGAGCATACAACAGCCGAAACGTTGTAATAAATATGGTGACAAAGATGAGGACAATAGTCCAAATAATGTAAATAGTGTACATAATACCTCATCTCAGAAATATAGACAGATACAAAATACAAGCTTGTATCTGATTTCTTGTACTTTTCTTCCAAAATGAGCCACAGACAATTTCTGATAGAATTTCCTCCTTGTTTCAGAAAAGATTACTCATAATTTGAAAAAAGTTGTTCATTAAAATTAATTGACACAAAACATCTGTTGTCTTTAATAATATATATGTATATGCATGTATATATATATATATATATATATATATATATATATGAATGATAGGATCAGAAACAAATAGGAAATGTTTATAAATTAATGTTTTGTTTTTATTTAAGTTTCATCAGAAAATGAAAAATAATAAATATTTTATATTATTTTATACTATTTATGAAAAATCATAAACATTTTGTCATTTATAAACACATGTTAAATGCACTTTATTTTATCACTGACTTTTATAAAATCCATACTTTAAAAATTTTAGATCTGTGTAGCTACAACCACAACTGGTGTAATTTAAAACACAAAACATCTCCAGTCACACAACAGACAGACATAAATAAAAATGCCCACTAAACACAGGTATACATGCACATACACATTATCAACCAAATCCTGCATAGACCAACTACAATTGTGATACACATACACACACACACACACATGAATTATACACATGAACGCTGCTTAACAGGACAGATACACATGAGGTCTGCTTAACCAATGAAAACCAAGCAACACAAAAATAAAAAATACCATAATTTTTTTCTCCTCCACTTCCTGCTGACGCTTAAATAAAAGTGAAACATGTTAAACTTATAAATGTTTTCTATTTGTTCCTTATCCTATCTTTCTGTTAAATTCTAATCCATATTGGATACAAATTCACATGCACACACCCACACATATACACGCACACATGCGCATATATATATATATATATATATAAATATAAAAGTGAACATAGAAGTCAACACTTAGAGGCAACAGTCTGTTTCATGCTATATGCAATCATCAGGCCATATATATATATATATATATATATATATATATATATATAATAAATCAAGTAAAACCTTAAAAATCCATATCAGTTATAATTTATTTCATGAATATTGTTATATTCATCTTTTCAGCCCAAAAGTTTTTTAGAAATAGAATCAATCCATCCAGACAAATATATGGGGATAAAAAGGAATCTCGACATATCTGTCTGGATGGACTGATTCCATTTCTAAAAATCTTTCGGTCTGAAGAGATGAATATAAAAATATTCATGAAATAAATTATAACCAATATGAATTTTTAAGGTTTTTCTTGATTTATTATTATATTGCTCTGTTACTTACATAGAACTCTCTTTGGATTAATGTCCTCCCTATCAATTACAAATTGGTATTATATATATATATATATATATATATATATATATAAGTGTATTTAGGCAGCAAGAATTCTTTCAAACATGTTTCCAGTGTTCCTTTGTTTGTTGGAACCAATTTCAAGTCACTCAAGGTGATATCATTTATAACATTCAGACTGAATTTTTATGTGTATTTTAATTTTTAAAAATATATATGTGTGTGTGTGTGTATAGATTTCTTATAAGTATAAACATTATTTTTATTGGGTACACTTATTTGAGTTGCTATCCCTGTTATTTTTTACTTTCTTAAACAGTGAAATTAATAACAACTGGCCTAGATCAAGAAGTCCTA